AAATATATATATTCCCGAATATATATAGTATATATTATATATATATACTGCTGCCAGAAGTTAATTACAATATAGATGGAAATCTTAAAAAAATTTAAAACAAATTTAAAAAAATTTTTTTAATGAAGATTACTAAGTAAATATGAAACCGGAATTTTTTTAACACACGTTTATATACATGAAAATGATAAAAAATATTTTATTCGAAATATTGCCCATCGGTAGCTATACATTTTTTCCACCTGGTTGACAATTTGTGGATGCCACGCCAAAAAAATTGTTGCTCTCTTGAGCCAAACTAGTCATCTAGACATTTTCATACATCTTCGTAAGAAGTGAAGCGTTGGTGAGCAAGTACGTGTCCCATCGATGTAAATAAGTGGTAATCAGAGCCAAGCCTGGTGAGTAAGCCGCATGCGAAAGTATTTCCCAACCAAATGCCTCAATCGTTTCCTTGACCAGTTTTGCTATGTGTGATGATACATTATCATGAAGCAAAATCACTTTATCTTTTTTGATATTTCGGTCGTTTTTCACACAAAGCTTGATTCAAATTGATCATTTGTTGTCGGTAGCGTTCAGTATTAACGGTTTCGCCAAGTTTTAGCAGCTCATAATAGATCACACCTTTCTGATCCCACCAAACACAGAGCATTGTCTTCCGTCCATAGCGATTTGGCCTTGCAATTGATGTCGATGATTCGTTTGGAATTACCCATGATCTTTTACACTTAAGATTCTCAAAATATCCATTTTTCATCGCCAGTCACAATTCGATGGAGAAATGACTTTCTTTTGTACCTGGTGAGCAGCATTTCGCAAGTGGTTTTTCGGTTTTTCTGCTGTCTTTCATTTAGTTCATGTGGAACCCATTTTCCCATCTTCTGGATCTTTCCCATGGATTTCAAACGTATGGAGACGGCTTCTCGTGTCACATTCAAATGATCCGCGAGTTGTTATTGAGTTTGAGCGTCATCCTCATCCAACAATGCTTGCAATTCGCTGTCTTCAAACTTTTTCGGTGGTTTTCCACGTTCTTCGTTTCTCACGTCAAAATCGCCACTTTTGAATTTTTTAAATCACTCAAAGCACTGTGATTTACCAAAAAAAAAAGTAACATAATAAACCGTTAATAAATGTTATGGACGTTATGTAATAGAGAAAAGGAAGATACAGACAGCGTGCATATGCAACAAAAGATAAAGGTGTATCAATAACATAGATCGGAATTCATAATCCATTCTTAATCTCAAGACAATTAATCTTAAGCAATGACTAAGCTTCCACCAAGAGTTAGAGATGGGTTGGCGAAGAGTTAGAGATGGGTTGTATAGAGGACTCTGGAGGAATTGAAGACATAAAAAAAAGAAAAGAGAAATTAAATTGTATCTCTGTTCCCCGAGGAGGTTAAAATTGGATCGCAAGATCAAAGCAATGCTATTAGATTGTCCGGAAAGTTCGTGCCGATTTTGAAGGAAAATTGAAATGCAGAAGATATAAATTTTAGTATACATTTATTAAATTATATAAGTGCCATTCTGTTCTACAACTTTTCTCCATCTTTCAGGAAAATTCCGTCCTTCCAGAATTTCTCAAATTTTTCAGCGAAAAACTTTTCTAAGTGATTTTTTACTTCGATCAAAGAGTTTTTCCATTAAGAAAATTTTGTAGTGATTGAAATAGATGGAAATCAGAGGACGCGAGGTCTGGTGAATATGATGGATAGGGTAGAACATCCCAACCGAGCTCCAATAATTTTTGTCGAGTTATCAAAGACACATGAGGCCGCGCATTGTCCTGATGAAACACGACGCCCTTCCGATTCGCTATTTCTGGACGTTTTTGTTCAATTGCTGTCTTCAATTCGTCTAATTGAGAACAATACTTCTCTGAATTTATCGTCTCGTTGTTTGGTAAAAGCTCATAATACAAGATCCCTTTCCAATCCCACCAGACACAGAGCATGACCTTCTTTGGATGAATACCGGCTTTTGGGGTGGCTAAAGATGATTCATTCCGCTTTCTTTTTCACTCAACATTATTGTAAATGATCCATTTTTCATCCCCCGTCACTACTTGCTTCAAAAATGGTATCTCCTCGTTGCGTTTATAGAGCGAGTCGCAAATGGAAATGCGATCCATCAGATTTTTCTCCGTTAAATCGTGGGGAACCCATACATCAAAACGGTTTATGTAGCCAAGCTTCACAAAATGCTCGTGGATGGTGGATTTTGACATATTTAATATTTCTGCTAATTTACGTGTCGTATAGTGTGGATTATTCTTAGTGTTTTAATCTGATTTTCG